TGCTGCCACTGATCTTAACAAAAAGCCTGTATCAAAAATGCCTGGATGGCTTTCAGAACTTCAAGTAATACCTCTCTGACCAAAGATTCACTTTTCAAGACTCTGGATGAGATAAATACCTGTCCTTTGCTGTGGAAATTTTCCTAGCTACATCAAAATCAGTGGAAATATGAAAATGCTTTAGCACTTAAGGTTACAACATCCTATTCATAAGCATCCAAATCATTAGATATTCAGATTACCCAGAACTCCCTCTAATGACAGATGAAATTTCTGATCTCTGCAGAATACTTAGTGATCGAGTATGAGCCAAACCAACTCTAAACAGCAAAAGTGAGAGAACAAGGGTGCACAAAAACTGGGTTAGCTAAAACACCAGCCTGTGTTGCCAACCACTTGGCAGGCAGAAGAGTTGGAGCTGTGACATGCAGGGCAGCTGATGTGGCTCATCTAGCTGCTTTACATCACAGCCACCCTTCCCACGTTTGCTGATACAAACTTTTTGCCTTTCCCTTCAACACCTCCAGAGAACAGCACAGCAGCAGCTGCTGCATTGTGTAACTAATACCCCCATCTGATCATAGAGGACAGCTTCATCTTAACATGGTTACCCTCCCTTCAAACCCCTGGAAAATCCTAATTCTGTGCTAGCCAGAGATAATTGCTAAATGCCAGCATCAAATCCCAAGTGCATTTGATGTCCTACCTTCTCCAGGTGTCTTCTCACAGCAAAGGACAGCTGGCAGTGATGCCTGCTGCTCACAAACAGTATATTTGTTATCTCTGTGTGTGTATTTATGTGCATGTGTATATATATGCCTTGCATACATAACCCCAAGAGCCTGTCCCAACCTATCAAACACCGTGGTAGAAGCAGGAGGTGGGGAAAAAAAAACATATTGAGCAATGACAGAAAATTCTGGAGATCTCAATGCAAAATATTCCAGGGAAGACATGAAAGAACAGGTCAGCCCATCATGCAGGCTACCTTTTGACTCACCCATTGCTTCAGTGGACAGCAGTTTCCTTGTTTAGTTTGTCACTCGATTATTCAAAGCACAAAACTCCGCGTCTCCCCATAACTCACTGGCAAAGTAGAACAGGAAGATGTGTCCAACTGTGTCTTAATACATTTTAACAGGATTTCTGCTTTCAGGTAAGAGAAAGTTCAGAGAGGAAATAATCTCAAAGTCCCTATATTTTCTCAGAACAGACAGGGACATGACACTTTGTCAATCAGTTAATCATATCAATTTCTACAAAGAACATTTATGTAAGTTTGATGGAGCTGTATGTCCTATGGCAGAGACAGACAAAATCATTCAGGAGTTATAGACCAAGCTTCTGCACTGCAAGGATGACTGAGGGCACAGAGGATTTTTCTTTCCAGCACTGTTACAGACATGCCATCAGTCAGGTCCCCTGTGTGCAATACAAGCAGCTTTCTTTGCCAAACAGATCTAAGGAGGGAGCTCTCTGGAAGCCAGAATGATTCCCACTCACTGGATGTACATTATCCAACCCCACATTCCCCATTTTTGGTGGCACTTCTGGATACCAGCACCTTGTTCCACCTCAGGCAATGAGGGGCTAAAAGCAGTACAGGGAGGGTAGAGAAAAGGACTGTGTCTTCGTGAGTGTGTAGCAAGAGACCTGAAAAACGGTAGGAGAAAGGTAATGAGAAATATTTCAGAGGAATTTGAAGGAGCAGTGAGGGCAGGAGAGGAAGGCAGCAGTTTTCTGAGCTGCAAAGGCAAAGCAATGAGTGAGGAAAGGAACAGACTATGCTGGAGACAGTTTTATGTTTCCACACAGGCAATATGGCACCAGCAGGCAGAGAAATTGAGAATTTTGATCCAGCTGAACCAGAGGAAACTCTCCCTCCCTTATTTATCAAATTAATATATTTGGTTTAATTCTAGGGGCCTGCTGTGCGTTCCTCTCCCTTCTTTCCTTTCCCACAGCCCTGGTTATTCTCTGTTGAACCCCTCAGCACCTGAACTTTTGACACTCTCCTCAGGTTTCACACTTGGTAATGGACAAACAGTGGCAGTAACTGTGCTGGCAGGAAGTTCATTTTACTGAGCTACACTGCTCCCACGAGCTTCTTGAAACTGTCTGAGTCACCACATCTTTTCAGATTCTGTGACTTCAACGTCCCCATCCTCAGATGATCTTTTGTAGGAAGTAAACCTGTCTAACCTAAGGCTGCAGATAAGCAAATATATTTGTCACCATTTCACAAGTTTCCATTTTACAACATTGTGTTTTCCCCCCAAAGCCCCAGGTTTCATTTTGTGTGCAAATACTACACAACTTACTTCAGCCTCACTGACTTTCATCAAAGTGGAAGTGAAGCTTTTCCAGCCATCCCCTCTCTCCTGGTCAAGGCAAGCATCCAGCTAAGTGACTGCAAGCCCTGTTACCAAAAGCAGGGACATGACTGAGAAATTACACAACTAAAAGTGAAATCCATCATATCTTTAAAGACAAATTCTGTAGTAGAGACCTGTAGCAGACTCCCACCAATATGTTCTGAGCACTGCAGTAGAGTGGCTTCTGTGCAGGGCTGTCAAGAGAGAGTTTCTACATTTTAAAAATGTAAATTACTAAAAAAACACCCCAATTTACTAAAGATTGCACCATTAAGACTAATCTATCCAACAGAAAACCATCCATTAAAACACCTCCGTTTAAGAAATGAAAAGGAATAAATAATAGAAACAGATTAAAACTTTCAGTTTGATTCTGGCAGAAAGAAAAACCTAATTACACTGTAAATTTCCTTTCCTAATTTTACTTCCCTTTGTTTTTGGCAAGCTCTGTACCTCATAGTAAAGATAGTTGTTGAGGAAGTCAGTCTCAAATGGCTAAGAAAACAGACTGAAAAGTAAACAAAAATGTGCAATGCTTGTGAGACACCTACAGAAAGTCTATAAAGACTGTCAAGTTTCGTTGTGATCTGCCCCAGAGATAATGAATCCACAGGAAAGGGACTCTCTTCAGCCAAGGCAAAGAATTTTTTTTTAGGCATCAGATATGCATATTTATGACTTGTAAAGCTTAATGATTAATATCCTCACCTTGTAAATAGGGAACAACTGGGCTCCTGCCCTACCTGTGGCAGTCAGCTCCCACAGCCTACATAACAGAAATTTTGCTTTTCTCCCCATTTGCTGCATTCAGGAAGGGCACCAAGGTGGCCTGGGGAGATTTACAATCAAAGGCTTCCTGGCCTGGCCTTTGCTCAGCTCTGAGGATAACACAAGCAAGCACCAAAGAGACTCCATATATAGCTGTAGAAATGCCAGAGCGCCATCAGAGGAGCACAGCCCTTAAATGGCAGAACTATCTAGAAGATGAAAGCAAGTATTTTCCTACAAAATGAGTAATTCTTGCCAAAACATGTTGAATTCTATGGGGCCTTTCATTTTCAGGAGTTTTCACTGGAAAGGAGTCATCAAATTCTTAAAGCCAAAAGCCTCTATTTATAAAAGTAAAGAAATGAGGGAAATTTGTCTTAAGGAGCTTTCAAAACATCAGTTCCACTTTCAGCTCTAGGCATTGGCAGGAAAGCAGAAAAGTCTGATCTTCAGAAAATACAGTCAGCTTGCTATGTTCTTCCAGAAAAAGAAAACTGATCCCTGGAGTCATTGCTTGCACCTCCTGGGTGAGCATACCAGTGCCTAGGATCACACAATGAGAACAAGGAAAGCGTCTTACGAGGTATAGAAATGGACCTGGAGCATTGTTCAGGCACACAGGACCACACAGTCTCCATGTGTCCCCTCCTCCTGTAGGAAAAAAATAATAATTAAAAAAAAAAGGGTTTAATGCAGAACTGCCTCTGCTTATGCAAGATCTGGGCTCCTCCCGGCTGAAATGGCTGGGAAAAGGCAGGAACTGCCACACAGCAGGACTGCTTCCAAAAAACTGCCTCTTGCCACATTCTTCGGACCCAGGGGATGGACTAAAGTGAAAAAAGCCTTTAGGAGATATTTTAGGAAAAAAAAAATGCTGCTTTATCCCAGCTGCACAGTGGAGATGAGGAGAGCCTGGCAGCGGAGATGATGGCCAGCCCCAAGGACTTCTGATTCTCAGGCTACTCCTGGAAAACCTGTGTGGCTGTCCTGTCATCCCTCACTGCTGGAGGAATAAAGAATTTGGGACAGTAAGCAATTTGCCTACTTAGATGGAGAACTTTTCTAAGCACCGTCAGAGCTGTGAGCCCTCAAAGTGAGGGGCAGCAGAGCAGCCCAGCCATTGGGGCTGGGCAAAGAATAGTCCAAGAGACAACTAAAAGCACCTCATGAACGTGTGTAAATATCTAAAGTGGGGCTTTAGATATCAAGATATTCTTGATATCTATTTAGATATCAAGATATCCGGTTTAGATATCTCAAGCAGATGGAGCCAGGCTCTTCATAGCGGTGCCAGCAATAGGACAAGAGGCAATGGCCAGAAACTGACGCACAGGAAATTCTACCTGAGTATAAGGAAGAACTTCTTTATTGTGCTGATGACCACACACAAAACATACTGCCCAAAAAGGCTGCAGAGTTTCCCTTACTGGAGTATTCCACAAGCATTTTATGACAATCATGTGCTCTGGGATGACCCTGCTTGAGCAGGGAGATTGGGCCACCACTGTGGTTCTCTTTCAAGAGACATGTTCTGTGATAGGTTGGAGATCCAGATGAGGCTGGCAGTGCACAGGAACAGCCGGCTCCCTCTCAGATTTGCACTCGCACGGTTTATTTCAGTAGATGTTTTAATGTCTATTTCGCAGCGAGGCGAGAAAGGAAATAAAATGGCGGCCCAGCTGAAACTCCCTCCAACGGCCCCCAGGGGGCGCGGCGGGACCCGGCCCCTCCCGCTGCCCAACATGGCGGCGCCCGGCGCGGCTTCACCCGCCGGGAAGAACGGGCGGCGCCCGCCAGGAACGGCCAGCTTCCGGCGCCCGCCCCCTTCCGGGAGGGCCGGGCCTCCGCGCCATGCCCACGCCGGGAGCCGGCGGCGTGAAGGGAGGCGGCGCCCGCCGGTGCCGCTGGGCCGGGGCTGCGCGGACGAGCCGCTGCTTCAGCCTCCCGCGGGGAGCGCTTTCTGGCTGAAATCGCCGGCGCAGGTGGCGTGAGAGCGGACGGCCCTTTGCTGGTGGGCGCCGGAGCGGAGCGAGGCCCGCCCGGCCTGAGGGGGATGCGCGGCTAGCCCGCGCTCGCAGCCAGCCCAGCCCAGCCCCGGTGGTCGTCGCGGAGCTGGCGTCGGGAGGCCACAAGATGTTCAGCTGGCTGGGCACCGACGACCGTCGGCGGAAGGACCCGGAGGTGTTCCAAACGGTCAGCGACGGCCTGAAGAAGCTTTACAAGACCAAGCTGCTGCCGCTGGAAGAACACTACAAGTTCCACGAGTTCCACTCGCCCGCCCTGGAGGATGCCGACTTCGATAACAAGCCCATGGTGCTGCTCGTGGGGCAGTACTCCACCGGGAAGACCACCTTCATCAGGTAAAACCCCGCTGCCCGCTGCCCCCTCCCAGCCATGCCGCACCCTCGACGCCCGAGCACCGGGGTGGGGCAGAACTATGGCTCGATCCCCCTTCTGTTACCCCCTTCGCGTCCCCCCAACAGCTTTCCATTGAAGCTTTTCATTTTCATTTTCACCCAAAAGCAGAGCATCCCTTGGCGAGCACAGGGTGGTGTAAGATGTCCCATGAAACACCGACGTGGCAAAGAGTAGCCCGGGGCAGGGCTGAGGGGCGCGGGCAGGGCAGGAGTGCGGAGCTGCGTGTGAGTCACCGGGGCCCTCCTGGCCGCTCAGAGTGCAAAGGCTTTGGGAAGCCTCTGCGGGGCATTCCACACGCACACTGCCCCGCTTGACCCTTGAGATAAGGATTCTTTTCGATTTGCTGCAGCTTTTGAGGGGTGAGGCAGCTTTAAAGGGGGTGCTTCGGTTTGCAGGCGTTGCTGGTGGTACACGCTTGCGTGTGTCTGTGTGTGTTTCTCTGCGCTGTCCCACAGGCAGCACTCGGATCCCACTGAGAGAAGCGTGTGTGTGCCTGTGCTCAGAGAGACCTGCCCCTCCTCAGGGATCCAGAAGCAGAGCCCTGCTTTAACTGTGTCCTGCTCGGCCGAGATGCTGGGAGCAGCGAGTTCCTTTCGAGCTGTAAAGAAAGAGAAGCTGCCAGCAGCTCTTTCAGTTCGCTGATGTGAAGCTGTCGCAGAGAAAGGGTTAAACTTTTCCGGCTGGACTTGCTTGCAGGGATCTGTGTTCAGCCATGCTGCTAGTTCAACTCGCAGCAGCCTTTCCCTTGGGATCGTAGCTGAAGCTGCGCTGTCCGTGTTTCCTATGTGATTCATAAGCTAAGCGTTAAATTCCAGCCTTTTTCTGTGTTGAAATCTGTGGAATTACCCCAGTGTAAATCTGGACGCTAGCCACAGGCAGCCAGCCCTTTGTTCTACCAGTATTTCTTGGTGAAGAAGGGAACTGCAGAGAGTAGAGAGAGGTGAATCAAATTGACTGTACCTCTAAAGGAGTGACCTTGAGAAATGCAGGGTTTTTTTTTTTTTCAATGTGCTGTAATATTCCTGCTGCTAAATTTCCTGGTCAGGAGCCAAGAACAGAATGCATTTCTGCTACCTTGGCACGTACCTGGCAAACAAAGTTTGAGAGTTAAAAGGCTTTTCTCATATGGGCAGGTCAGGTGGACGGTGAAGGGTGGAAAAGACCCAAAGAAGCATTTTGCACATGTTTGCAAAGGGAGTTACTCTTCTGAAAAATAGAGAGGATAGCACAAATGCCTGGTTCCACCCCAGATCTTTGTTCTGTGACTTGATACCAAACCTGTTTGGAAAGCTTTTTCTGTCCTCTGGGTTACAGACACTCAGAGCCTGAACAGGAGGAGCTGCTGAATTCCTGATAATGCTGTCTAACTAAAGCATCCCTTCCTAATTCTTTTCTCTGGGTTGTCAGCATCAGTGTTTCCCTGCAGTCTCACCAGCATGCTGTTAGCAGAGACTTCTGCCTTTGCCCCTCTCTGCTCAGTGAAGTCCTTCTGTAAGCCTCAGCTCCTTTTACAGGAACTGTGGGTGCCTAGAGCACGTTCCAGGTACAAGAAGATTGAGTCTTTGCTCATGTGAGATGGCAGCAACAACCTTTTTGCTTCCAGCAAGTGGATCTGAGCTTCTGACAACTGCTTCTCACTCATGCTTGTGTCCTCTTCTCCCCCTTTTCTCCAGGCACAGGGCTGGGATCAGCCTGCAGGGATGATGGTCAAGCAAAAGTGACCAGGAGCTTTGGCAGCTTCTGCTTCACTGGGGTGCCACATGGGCCTTCCAGAAAGGCAGAGTGCCCAAGAAGGTGAAAGTTGAGAGCTTTGGTAGAACCCCAGGGTCTCTAGGAGAAGTGTGAGAGTCTGTCACTCCAGTGTGCTCCCAGACAAAGGCCAGGGAACCTCGTGTTGCTTGTGACAGGCTTCCAGCAGGAGCTCGCAGGCACTGCTCATTAGAGAGCTGGGATAAGCCCCAGATTAGCATCCAGAGTTATTGTGGGAAGGCAAGTGGGAGCTAAAGCTGAGAGCAAGGAGGAGTTAAAGGGGGCTGGGGGGAGGAAGTGGGAGGGTTGACAACCATTATGGCTTAGCAATAGAGTGAAGCAAGAAACAGCCTCTGGACATTCTGTCCACAGTCTTGTCAGGATAATTAGGGTTATCCTTATGTATCAATTCCACTCTTAAATTGCATCCTGCCTGTACTGCCATGCAATTTAGGGAGATGACTTAATGCTAGTAAACAATCATGGAGAATGAACTCAGCCCCACTTTACCTGGATCCCAGGATACTTAACCAAAAAAAAAAAAGACCTTTAGTCACCTACCTAAGGAATGTCTGTCTTCCAAACCCCTTTCCTTGTTTTGAGGAATCTGAGGTGAAACAAGGAAGAAATGCAAGGCTCTGAAGCACCTAAGCTGCAGCATCTTGCAGTGAGGCTGCTCTCTTGTCAGGAGCTGATGGCAGAAACAAGGCAGTCAAGGTCAGCAGTGAGAAACATTCCTAGGGGCTGAGCCAGGGAAGAGGGAGGTGAGTTGTGTGGGTCAAAGCCAGTGAAGCAAGACCACAGCATGGCTTGTTTCCAGTGGAACCAGGCTGTTCCCTCTTCTCCTTGCAGGGACACAGAGCTGAGCCTCTCTGTGCTGTGTGAAAGGTGTTGCATTGCTTTGCAGTGCAGCTTTTCCATTCCTGCTTCCTGCTGTATCATCTCTTTGTGCTCACTCGCATCACTCTCCTCAGCTTACATTTGGCTGATGCTTTTCCACAGGGTTGGGGGCTGAAAGTCGCTGCTGGTCAGGGCCAGGCAACACCTCTACCTGGGAATGTGTGACAGCCACTGCAGGATCTCACTGGAGCCTGCCTCTATAACGTTATTGCTTCTTGTGTTTCCTGTAAGAGAGTGGGAGTACAGGACAGAACATTACTCTCCTAATTAACTTAGATTCCTCGGACATTTCTAAAAATAATCCTGGCTCAAGTCCAGCCATCCTGCTAATAAAATAAACAAGCCTGCTAGAGCCCTACTGACTGTCAACATGGCTTGCTGTTCTGGTGTAGCCCCCCCCTTCCTCCTACAGCTAATGATTTACACCTCCTGGCCCCTCACAGGCTGCACACAGAGCTCTGGTGTGACCTCCCCGTGCAGCCCTGAGCCTTCCATCCGTGCCTGCACGGGGCAGTTTTTTGTCACCGTTTCCTCTGCTCTGCCCTCCTTCCCGTTGCGCTTAGCATCACCTCTGCTGCCACACTCGCGGCATCCTGCAGGGCTCCTGCGTGACTCATCACAGCCCCTTCCCCCACATCCTGCGGCGCTCCTGCCTGCCCAGCCCGGCCTCTCCTTGCTCACCATCCCCAAATCCACCTGGGAAAGGAGATCCCAAGCTGGGCTGGGCTAACGCAGCTTTCCTGCCCTGCCCCTTCCCAGGAACAGGCAAACAGCACGGTGCTTGCAGCCACACACCGACTCCAGACACTGCTCTAAAAAGCAGATTGGCCATAAAAAACCTATTCTCCTACTCCACAACTTCCCTAACCTGGCTGGGAATCACTCCCCCAGGCCTTTGAAGGTGTTCAGAGCTCAGCTTAAGCAGTGCAGCACTGGCAGAGATTGCTTGCTGGTGGTTGGTGTTTTCCACAGCTGTTGTTTGCTCTTCTCTCCCAGAAATCCCCACAAATGTGACAACTGCATGTGTTCTCTGTCTTGCCTCTGGTAGCCAGGGCAGGCTGTGTCAGTGCTGAGCACAAGTGCCTTCCCCCCGTCAGGCAGTGTCAATACAACCCCTTGTGTTTGTCCTCTGCACAATGAGATTCTTATGCTGCTGACACCCTGCTGCACAATGTACCCAAATCTCCCAGAGGGGCCTCACTTAAAATAGATGCTGGGATAGTGGGCAGTACAAATCCCCATCTCTCTGGTTTCCTACCACTTGTTGCACATCAGTCAGTCACATTGGTGTGTGGCTGCTTCTTTTGTGCTTTCCTTGGGATTTTTTTGTTTTGTGTTTTTTTGCATCTTACTCAAGAAATAAACACAGAAATGCTTTGAAACGTTAGCTGAGTGGAGCTGTGATAAAATTCTTTCAAGCAGTCTGTCTCGAGGAGTTGTTATTCCACACAGGACTTCTGGTTAGTTTTTCTGGGAAGCTTTGTCTATAAATAACAAACAACTCCCCCCCCCACAACTAATTCTCACTTCTGCCCAAAAGCTGTCATGTTCCACGTGCATTTCAAGCCTCTAAAAAGAAAAAAGGTGGTTGTTACAGCAAGGCTGCAACCTGCCATCAGGAGTAAGGGGCCTTTCTCAAAAGCCCTTCACCTGTTACATTTGGCAGCTGTTAATGCTGCCTGTTTGTTTTCTCTCTAGTATTTGCATGGGGAGAATGCAAAGCTTTATTTCTATGAATTCAGTGAGTTTCTGTCCATCAAGGACTAGTGAAATGCCATCAAGGAGGCACAAGCTTAGTTTCCAAAGTCTGACCAAGTGGCTTCTAACCTAGCAAATAGTATAAAGAGCTTCCTAGGGAATTGAACCAAGAACAAGATGATAGCCTACAGAGCCCTTGGTGGGTAACCCCTCCTTGTTCTCAGGTGCTTCAAGCTAGAGAGGAGTTGCTGTGGCTGCCAGGAAGGGAATTGTGATCACCAGCCAGAGAGGTGGCACACACCAGGACTACCTGCAGTCTGCTTTTCTTTTCTTTCCACTTTTACAGCAAAGTTTGAGAAAACCCTTCATAAGGTTTGGGTAAATAGGATATATCCACCCTAGGATGGGAGGTCAGAGGGATGCTCTCTTCCTGGATTATTTCAGGTCTTTTTAAGAGCTGCTCAGCAGCTGCTGTTGCATCTCAGAGTTCTGCAGTTAAGAAGAGTCACTTCTGGTGGCCTTCTGGTGAGCCTAGGGCTTGGAAATCACTTTGGACAAAAGATACAAGAAAATACATGATAATACACCAGTAAAGAAGGTGGGGTCATCTCCAAAGTGAATTATAGATATAATTTGTGGAGGTATTCTTGCTGCAGTATGAGTGTGTACCAAGCCAGATAAGTACCAGTGATTTGTCCTGAGTATACATTTGGTTGTTTTACCTCTAGATCCAGTTGGTTTGGCCTTGCCTGTTGGGAACTGAAGACACATTTGCTGACATGGTATCAATAAATAGCCTGCACAATTTTTTTTTTTTTTGTTGCTCCTTAAACACTGGATATGATTACCTATGTTAAAATGACAATGAAAGCAGGAACACCTAAAAAGTTATCACAAGCCTTCATGCCAATGGTCTTATAGTCCCTCACACAGGGACTTCCCTCACTAGGACTCACCCGAGTGAACCAATTCTAGTGTTTAGACATATCAGTCTCAATCATGAAAAAAATTTCCAGTCCTTCCCCTATTTCCTTTTCCACATCCCCACAATCTAGTTTTAACATCGCAGCAATTCTGAAATAATCTACCTATCTACTGAGGATTAGGTCAAAGCAATGGGAGAGGGAGTGCCAGCTACCCTCTGGCAACAGGCAGCACATTATTATGCTAACTTCCATAGTCTGGGAGCCATTTAATTCATTAAATGCTTATTCCTTGTCACTTCTGTCACCATCCCATACTGAGGGCTAGACCAGTTCTAGCTCCCTTCTGCAAGCCACGTGCACATAATGGTCTCAGTTTTCAGCACAGCATCAGCAGGTGGTTTTCTACACACACAGACACAGGCTTGGCCTCAGTGATGGCATCTGGCACCTTGGTGAGCCAAAGGGAACTGTCCCGTGCACACACCATTGTCCCACCCTGAATTTGGCAGGCTCAGTTGGGATCTGCTCCAGGGTCCTATTCAAAGCCCTACAACCCCATGGGTGATGGGTGACAGTCTTTCCCTGAAATTTGCCAGACGACCTGCAGGAGTTAATAATAAGGGATGCTGTTCTTAGTGGGCTATCTAGCTTTAGATACAGCTTGGAATTTTCTCCCCCACCCAGGTGTGGTGCTGAATATGCTTGAGCAGTTTGTAGTGCAGGCCTGTGGCTGCTTTTCAGAAGCACACAGAGACTGAGACTTCAGTCAAGTGCAGGGGAAGTTGGCATTTAAGAAACTGCTTTGGGCTAATTGTGGCTAATCACATCAGTTGTTTGAGTCTGCTGAAGCCAAGTAATTGATATTGGCACCAAGAGCCAGTGGGGTTTCAGCAGTGTGGTGGTTTAACAGTAGTGTGCAGTAGGATTAACTCTGTGATTGCAGTGAACTGCTGGTTTTTACTTTGCTCTGCTAAGTCTGCTCCAAATGGCTTGAGGATTGAAGTGCACAAAATGATGCAACATGATGAGAATCTCTTCCCAGCAGCTATAATCATCTTAATTTCTTAATCCACCTTAAATGAGCTTTCAGTGTTGAGATCCTAAGTAGAAAAGCCACCAAGACATTTATCAAACAATTGAGTGACAGTGCTAAAAATAGTCTCGGAAGGATCCATGCTCTCGAGCTTCATAATTGCTCTGCAATCTTCAGTGCAACTCATTTAGGACTTAGCAGCTCATGGCTCATGCCCACACCCCGTTTTTTCACTTCCAGGTACCTGCTGGAGCAGGATTTCCCAGGGATGAGGATTGGACCAGAGCCTACAACTGACTCCTTTATAGCAGTTATGCAAGGAGACGTGGAAGGAATCGTTCCTGGGAACGCGTTGGTGGTGGATCCCAAAAAACCCTTCAGGAAACTCAACGCCTTTGGCAATGCCTTTTTGAACAGGTCAGTACTCAAGAGCTCTCTTGTTCTGCAGAGTAAAGTCAGGACCTAATGAGCAGCATAGCAAGTAAAGTAAAGGGATAAGGCACTTCTTTTGCAAGGCCAGCCCAGTCCTACCAGATACACATAAGTCAGTTGCTGAAGGGCTGATAAATTCAAGTGTGACAAACCTTCATTTTACTTGAACAAACAACAAAAAAATGACATCACAGCCTAAGCTTATCCTACAGGACACTAGAGGTAAATATCTTATTCCCCTACTTCAGTATTTCTAGTTTTTTCCATTTGTAATCAAAACCAGGCTCTCTCTATTCCCATGCCTTACACATAGAACCTCAGGTGCAAATTGATGGCCACTCTAATGTGTTTCCTGTAAAACAGAGTAGCAGGGTGTTTGGACAGCAGCTCTGTGACATGAGGAATTTAACCTTTCCATCCCCTAGACCCAGCCCAGCCATAGGGAGGTTTTGGATGTAGGCCTCACAGGAAGCCAGCAGCACACACCCATATCCTAGATGAGCACAAACTGTGCTCAAGCTGCAGAAGGCAACAAACTGACTACACCCATCATCGACGCCTTCCCTTGACACTGGGAGACACTGGAAACATGGCAGCTGCTCAGCAAAACAGCCAGGAAAGCTGGGCTGGGCTCTGGCTCCTGTTCAATCTCCCAAGCTCGGAGAAGGACTGTCCAGAGGCTGCAGCATCTCCTACAGCTCTGACCACAGGAGTGCTGGTGTAGGCTGCAGCAAGGCAGGGAAACCCTGCAGAGAAGCATGGGGAGAAACTTGCTGGCAGGAGAGGGACCTGGCTGGAGTCACTGCTGTGTGGGAAACCTCAGGGTGGCAGGAAGCAGTATCTGATCACTGCACAGGAGCATCATTCAAATACACCAACATGGTCCTGCACCAGAGAGACTTTGAGAAGTTTTTGTTGTTTTGTAGGGCTCAGAACATCTGAACCTGACCAACAGTTAGGTGACTGCCCACTCCCTACATCAGGGCAGAACAGTGATTTCCCCTAAGACAATAACAGGCCTCTTGCCTGGAGTGCAGAGATTGAGGATAAAGAGGACATAATTCAGAGCAGCTCAGCTGATAGCCAAGAGCAGCCACAGCTGGCAGACAGTTCTCTGCAGAGAAGGAACATTAGGCCAGGCATGGGGGGCAAAAAAGCCAACACTTCTGAACTAGCCTGATGGATGTGTCCTGAATGCAATTCGCTCCTGATGCAGCAAGGGATCTCTGCATGCATTAACCCAGTTCCCTGTATCATGCTGTGCTCTTGTTATGCTCCTTTACTCTTCCTCCTCCTGAGGAAGGAGTCCAGCCTGTGTCTGAGCAGGCAGCAGGGCAGAGGGACACAGCAGCAGCCTAAGTGCAGTCCTTCCAGCCATGCAGGGAGCAGCCACAGCAGCTAATCACATCTTTCTCTTGCTGACATGAAAAAAGAGGGGCAATGATTTCTAAACTGACAGAGGGGACATGCTAAGGGGGACTGGCTCAGCTGTGTGAGCATCACATGCTGAAAATGCAGATGCCAATGCCCTGCTAATTAGGAAATGAAACACATGCAAGAGTTGACTCAGAGGGGCAGAAATTTAGCAGATGAAAGTCCTGGTGCACCCAGTGGACCAGATCAAGCCACCCACAGTTACTTCTCAAGTGCCTGGCCTCTGTGCTAGGGACAGGCAGAGCTGTCTCTGCCTTGCACATACCTCACTGCTGCTGCACATATGCCTAGGCCCTGACCTCAGCTAGGAGGCTGTGAGCAAGAAATTTGCAGAAGGGAGCTAATCTGCAGGGGCCACACCTCTAAGCTGAGATAAGCAGGCCATGGGGAAGCCTGCTTTGCCCAGGGGTGGTTAAAGGTAACCCTTGAGTGTGAGCATCAGTGGGAAGGAGCAGAGCAGCACGAGGCAGTGGCACTCACACAGGCCAAGCTGGCCTTGGCTGAGAGGTGGCAGCCACAGCCCTGTGTCCTGTGGGGTGCAGAGCCTGCTGCTCCAGCAGTGAGCATCCACCCTTAGCTGGGGCTCCCTCCCCAGCAGAAACTGGGATCTGCTGCTTTCCAGGAAGCAAGGGAAGACTGGAACAGTCAGGATTTGGCTGGGAGACAAGCAAATTGTGCTGCTCAGAGCCTGTATCCTCCCTCCCTCCCTTCATTCCCAGGAGATGCCCATACCTGGGACATAGGGTTGCCCAGGGCTGAAATGAGGATAGCAGGATAGATCCTGTCTCTTGTCTGCTCTTCTTGCCCCAGGTTGTTCCTGGGCATTGAGAGAAGGGTTTGTTTTCCTTTCTCCAGCTCTGCTGGCCAGCCCCCACCTCTGGGAAGATTCCAGAGAGATGAGAAGTTGCACCTTGTTATCAGGAAGACTTGTTTGGCACCAAGGGCCTGGAGCAAGTTCAGGAATCTCACCCATTACTTTCCTATCACATTGACTAGGTTGCAAGAATTCCCCCATCCCCAAAGTCTGTTTTGGGAAGCTAAGGTGGAGTCAGTCCTGATTTTGTGTTGTGAACAGCTGGAGAGGTAGATATCATGTTGTTCCTTCAGCCCTGTGCTCTGCTCTGCCTGTAGAGGTGGTGAAACTGCTTTGTGCACAGCACTCTTCCCTTCACATGGCCCCAAACAGAATTAGGTCGAGCTCCCTGAGGTCCTGCAGTTCTGCTGGGACAACAGGAGGGCAGCAGCCTTAACTCTGCCAAAAGAGCCAGAATGCACTCACTCATGCTGGCCTCTGACCTTATATCTGAAATCTCCTGGGGAGAACTTTTCCTAGAGAAACTGGTGGAAAATCCCCCTGCCCCATTTAATGTTAGAGCACAAGGAGGACTCAGGGCTGTAACCATGAAGAGCAAACCTGGGGTTGGCAGGACAAGGGAATAACATGAACTCCTGAGCCTTTTGTTCTCTGCTGCTGTGCCTGGCACTCAACAGGATCATCAAGCCGGTCCCCCTCTTTGATATGAGTTATTACACATTCAGAAATGCTCCCTGTTGCCACCTGCCAAGCTGGAGATGTGGGAAGCTGTAATATGTGGTCTGAAATAGCTGACAGCTTAGGGGAGGAGACACTCTTTAACCCATGAGGAGTCACTCTGATCAGAATCTTCTTGGGGTCAGACAAGTGGAACAATTGTGGCATAGCCTGGAGGAATTGAGAGGTGCAGGGGCTCCTGCAGAGCCAGACACTCATCAGAGAGAGCACTGCAGGGCTGCATCTGCCATGACTGCACTGAGTGGTCCTTGCAGCAACCCCCACCCTCTGTGGTTCTGCCTCCTCCCACAGCACCGTGGTTTTTGTGCCTGGATGTCACACCACCTTATTAATATGCATATGTACACACACACACACACAGTCAGAGCTGCCTGGAATGCCATCCCAAAAAGGCTGTCCATGAAATGCTACCAGGAAGCAGATAGGCTTTTAGTGTCCTTTGCTGTTACTAGCAGCTGAAATAGAGGAGCTGCAGCCCACAAAGCACAAGTGACTTTTCTCAGGCAGTGATTTGCATAGACACGGGATGGGGAACAACCAGCTAAAGAGCAATTACACAGAAATGGAGCTGCAGAGGGGGGAGCAGTGAATTACAGAGTGAATGTGAGCTAACAGTGTCATAGTGCTGTTAAAAAAGCAAACATGTCAGTGAGATGTATAAACAGACTGTCAAGTCTAAGAGATAAGGAGCAATCCATGCTCTGTGCTCAGCACCAGCAGGGTGAGCCATGGCTGGAGAATGTCAGCTTGTGGCATCCTGCCTGGAGAAGAAATATGTGGAGCAGCTTGAGAGGACCCAAAGGAAGCTACAAGGGTCTTCAGGGATTTAGAAATGAGCTAGAAAGGCAGCTAGAGAGAACTGGAAGAGACAGGAAAAAGAAATAAATAACCACCAAATTGATTTCTGTAGAGGAAAGACTGAGGGGAGCAGGGTGGCTGTAGTGTGCATTGTGACAAGAGGGGAAGAATAAGTCATTTTCCACATCAATTGTGTTTGTAACTGAGGAGCATTATAGCATATGAAATTTAGATTAGACATAAAAAAAGAGGATTTACTGTAAAGGTTATTAAGTAATGGAGTAGACTCACAGCAAATGTTGGTGAGTCTGCATTGTTATGGATTTGAAGAACACTTTAGACAAATAACCTGACTGATCCTGCCTTGAGGCAAGAGGATAGGCTGAGCAACCTCTTGAGATCTCATGCTGCCTATGCTTTACTCTTTCCATGCTGCAATAATAGCACATTTTGTCTTTTTAAGACAGATTTGAAAGAGAACAGAAGTCCTGCAGAATTGCTGATTTTTTTTAAAGCAAGTTATTTCAGTTCACTGGAGTTCAGAAGTCTTCAGGGGAATGCTCAACCAAAGAAAAACAAATACCATTTCTTGTTAAAATCTAAACAGCACATAAACCAAAACCCAAATATTTTCATAATTCACAACTTGGGGGCCTATATAAAACAACCTGTCATAGGTCATGACTGAGACCCATGTTCCAGAGGCAGCAAAACAGAGAAAAGTGTTTAGTTCTAGTTTCTTTCTCATTTCTTTAAGTAACAGTAGCTCCAAGCTCCAGCTGAAGACTTGAGAGATCAGAGTTTGACTTGTCCCATGCTGCCTGTGATGTGCAGCACATCATGACTGTGTTTTGCATTTTTAATGTTTTTAAACACATTTATTTTCTACACAGGTTTGTCTGTGCCCAGCTACCTAACCCTGTATTAGAGAGCATCAGTGTCATTGATACTCCAGGAATCCTTTCTGGAGAAAAGCAGAGAATTAGCAGAGGTAAGTCCCAAGTTCAGTTCTCTTCTAAATGACAGTAATGAAAACCAAAGGAACTGTATATAATTTTCACTTCAAACTAGGATAAAAGCAATGGTGGGAGCCTCTCAGAGCTACAGCATTTCTTTGCACATGGAGACCAAAGGGACCTGGTTAATCTCCTGCAGAGAATTTGGATGTTTTCAGGGCAGGCTGCTGACAAGCTCAGCAGTGTCACAGTCCAGTATTACCCACAGGAGAGATTTCTGTCAGAGTCAAGTGATGCCTCTCTGCTTTGCAGAACCAGTTGCTCTCAGTGCCTTACTGATGATCCATAGCCAAGGCCCCCATTGTAATCTCCCTGGTTTCTTCCACTGGCCAAGCTCCCTAAATCCTAGTGCAAGACTGGATTGGGTTTAAAGAACCATTGGTACTCAAGTTCTGCATTGCAGCAGGGAATCTGGAAAGCCTGTGGACACTAAATCATAAAATCCTAGAGTAATTTGGGTTTGAAGGGACATTAAAGATCCTCTAGTTCCAACCCCTGCCATAGATAGGTGCATCTTCCACTAGACCAGGTTGCTCAAAGCCTTGTCCAACCTGGCCTTGAACCCTTCCAGGGATGGGGCATCCACAGCTTCTTGGGACAAGCTGTGCCAGTGCCTCAGCACCCTCACAGTGAAGAATTTCTCCTCAATATCCAATAAAAGCCTACCTTTTCCAGTTTAAAGCCATTCCCCTATGTCCTGTCAGCACAGACCCTTGTAGCTGGAGCTGATGAGTAGTACAGACTCTCTTAGTGAACTTCTGAGATCACTCAGACTCACCCACAGCAACATCTTTATACTTCAAACCTCTGTGCTCACCTTCTGTCTCTGTGAGGTGATGGTGGCCTAGCTTGCATTTCTGGAAGGTTCCTTAGATAAAGCTGGGAGCTGTGCACCATTTCACTGGAAGAAAGCCAAGAGCAGTAATCTCAGCATTCAGGTTTGAGCTCAGTTCTCATGCACACTGTCCATTAACAGCTGAGTTTCAGCAGCACAGGCTCCACCCCAAAGTGTGAAAGCCTTTCCCATATTTCCATGTTCTGCCCCATAAGATTTCAGATGACTCATGACTTTCCAAGTTCTATTACACTTTTGCATTGAAATTTTTCTTGGAAGCTTCCTTTTTTCTTTTAATCGAGCAGCCACCTTGCACAGAGCCAGGTCTTGTTTGTTTTGCTGGGATTTTCCACCACAGGAACCCTTAACTAGCAAACAAGTGTCAATAAAACACAGCTACAGTTCACAAAAATCCCCTCACATGAATCTGTTTTAGCGTGGGCCTCTGCATTGCTAGGGGATCAGAAATTCCAAGGTGTGCCAGCCTTCATGAGAAAGTTGAAAAATATGCTGTGCAAGCACTCCTCCCCTCAGCAGAAAGTATTTAAAAAATTGTATTATGTGGTGTAGACATTTTCCAGTCAAAAAATGCCACTGAAAGCAACCAATTCTCCTGTGGAACTATCACAGTGAAAGAAACTTGCTTAGGAGGAAGTATTTTTGTTATGAAGAAAAGGACTAAAAAGAAGGTATAAGTGAGTCAAAAAGGACCCATTTCAAGCCCCTTTTCCAAATCTCCTCATTAGTTCAAATGCCAACATGTATTGCAAGATTTTCCTACTTTTCAGCTGTTTACAGAACTAAAAATACCCTCCTGCAGAATACACTGGCACTACTTGCTGCTCCTTCTGCAAAAATTTCCCTGTCAGCTTTCCAGTGGGTCTTGGTGTCCCATTCTGGATCCTGTCAGTGTGACCTTGGGGCTGGCAAAGCTCATGGAACTGATCATCCTCATGGATCAGGCCAGGCAACACAAGCTTATCAAAGACAGGTCCTGCTTGAGCAACCTGATGTGACAAGGTGACCAAATTCCTGGATGGGGGAAGGCTGAGGATATTGCCTGCCTAAACTTTAATAAATGAAAAGAGTTAAATCCAGCTGGGAGCCGGTCACAGGTGGTGTTGTCCAGGGCTCACACTGGGGCCAGTCATGTTTAATATCTTAATCAATATTAAGATATTAAATTAAGAGGAGTGAGAGCACCCTCAGCCAGTGTGAAGATGCCACCATTCTGACTGCAGTGTTGGTGTGCTGGAGGTAGGAACAGGAATCTGTAGATGGATCTGAATGCATGGGACAGATCTATGGGTTGAGGCCAGTGCTGGGTTTACAGCTGGATTCAATGACCCTAAAGATCTTTCCTAACCTAAACAATTCTGTACTTTGCAGCTACTGTAATAAATGGCAGCAGTGGCAGAACATGCTTGTAACACAGCTGTGCAGTGTTACAAAAGTCACTGGTGTACTTTAACCCAAGGCGGTAATGCCTCTGCAAACATTTGCAAAGAGCTGAGGAGGCTAAAGGGGAGTCCCAGTTCTGCACATTTCTGCATGCTGCACATGTTTGCAGAACTGGAGGCCTGTCCCAGCATGTGGAGCAGGTTCTTCCTGGCCAGCTTCTCTGCCCCCAGTGCAATTCAGTGCACTTAGGGCAGAAAATTGGCACATTGGCCCTGTGACTGGTGTGTGGTCATTCAGCCCTTCAGCCAGGAAGCAACCCCAGATGGATCAGCCATCTCCTGACCATCCTGCCAGCCCAGGAATTTGCTCTGCTGTATCTCAGGGGGCTGTCACTGATCTAATCACAACAGTTAAAAGTACAGTGTAGGAGGGACTTTGCTTTGTCACCATCTACATCTGGGACAGATGGAAGTGCTCATGTGGGCCAGGTCAGATAACCTTGCAATAGATACAGGACAAGATCTTCACCTGGTTTAGGTCAATATGGCTTTGTTGAGGCTGGGAAACTCCAGCAATTCCTGTCTCCAGGGAGCAGGAAGAGCCAAAAGAGCGCAGAGGTGCCTGTGAATAGGAAGGGCTGCTGCCAGACATTGGCTTGAGTTTATCTCAAGGTGTTTGAAAGGGAGGAGCCACCTCCCAGCTCCCATGGAAGAGGAATAGGAAAAAGTGGTGAGGCTGACACCTTTGCCACCAAGCTTACAAGCCAAGCTGACCTCATGAGCAAGCTGGTTTTGGAGGCAGACAGAGCAGTAACATGGGCTAGGCAGAAAACAAGACAGGGCTAAAAACACTGACACAACAAAATTCTTCTGCTCCTTCTATACCTTCCCAGCATGCTCAGATTTCACTTGGGAATGAAGCAATACCTGAGGGAGTCTCACAGAGGTTTTCCAAGAGACTTTGAAGTTTCCTGACTGCTTGGAACAGGAATGCTGTTCTTACCCCCACTGTAGGTTCTGAGACCCTAGACTGGGGTACCTGGGGTGCAGTGTCAGGGAGGAGAGCAGATAGTGAAGCAGCATTTTGTCATAAATTTGAGGGGGAAAGTAAAGATGTGACAGGCTTTCTCAGCCTGCCCATCCCATGAGAACCAGCAGCATTTCTAAAAATAGGAAATTCCTCTCAGTGGGAACATGACAAGTCCATCTCCCTCCCCATTAGACGTCAGGAGCATTAGTTAATCCATACAGTGTCAGCTTAGCAGAATACCAGGCTGTCAGAGTTTAGCAATCCATGAGAGCCACCTTATAGCCCTGAATTTCAAAGCAGTAGCTGTTCCTGTCACTGCATCCATGTTTCAAAGAGCAGGAGCAAGGGAGCAGGGTTTAAAGGATTGATTCAGGGGCCAAGTCCAGGTTTGGAAGCATTTCACCTGTCTGAACTCAACCCTGAATTAAATTCACTGCCTGTTAAAGGTGACAGATGAGCCAGTGTACATGTACATGAGCACAGGGTGCTGGTGTTGGTGCCAGCAGCAGGGCTTTGCAAATGGCCACCAAGCTTTGCTGCAAGGAACTCTGCATAATCCCAGCAAACAAAGCCCTGCCCTGGCTCTCCCCCAGGACTGCATGGCCATAAAGAGCCCCTTCCCCCACAGAGAGCCCAGGGAGTTCCCCAGTAACAGAGCTGCAGGTTTAGGCCTATCAGCAACTGAGGGTGATGAGTTTGTCAGAGCTGAAGTGCACATCCCTCTGACATGCACTGACATCCCCAGCACTGACACAGCTGCTGCTGCTCTCAGACCCTCATAAAATGTATAGCCCAGGAGCTGCTGCACTGATTTGAGCTCCTGACTCATGCACTGCTTTGTGGTGTGGTGGGCACCCACAGTGTCTCAGGTGTGGTAGCCAGACTCCCTGGGATGCACAGGTGTCACTTACAGGCATTATGGGCTAGCATTTCCAGGGTGTCCTGGCCCCAAGCATCCTGCCCTTCACTGCTTCTGTATCATCCTTGCCTGGAAGGCAGCCATTTCTCTTCTGATCTTTTTTTTACAGTCTGAGGCATGAATCTGTGCCCACATTTAAAGAACTAATGATTGCATTGCCTTGCCCCTTGCTCTGTTCTTTTTATTTGTTTCTAGGGGAGCATGAGGCTGCAGAGATGCCCATGGGGGAGGTGTTTGGGCCAAAGCAGCACAGTCTTGTCTGCTTTGACAGTTTGATAATGATCCAAATGCCATCCACTTGCAAAGCAGTGTTCTGGTGTCACATAATGAGCTCAGGCCAGCCTGCTGGGAGGGAAAATGAGGAGGGGATGACTGAAATAAATGAGGACAGAGGGGAGGACCACAGATCAGGTCATGCAGAGCCAGGACAGGAGTGAGGACTTCCTCATAATTCATCACCCTGTGAGTCTGCCCTGCTAATGGAGCACCTGGCAACAAGAACTCGTGTGCTTCAGTGGCGGTGCCATCCCTGGGGGCTGAGCCCTGCACGCTCTGCTGCCCATCTGTCTCAGCCCACATCTGCCCTGAGCTGAGCTGATGTCTGCCAAGCTCAGTGACACCTTGGCCAAGCTGAGTTTGGTCCCTCTTTTGGGGTAGCACTTCCTGGATATATCCTGATCACTTCATGCTCACTCTCTGTGTGCTGCCTTCTCCCTTTCCTGGGTTAGCAGTGGCCACAAGCTCCTAGGCAGGAGGTGAGGACTGGCAGTGTCACTCCTCATTGGCTTGCT